CTCGGGGAGGAAGTTGTCTTTGACGTCTACCACACACAGCAGGAATGCCCACCATGGCATCAGATTTATATTCTACCGGCTGAACCTGGTGCCAACTTGATGGGCTCAGCTCTTTCCCAGCAGTTACTGCAGAAGTCTCAGGGGAGACTCTGATTGGCTCTGACTGGGTCACGAGCCTCTTTCTGCACAAGTTGAAGCAACTCTGATTGGCCAAGTCTGGATCACGTGCCTCTTCCTGGTGCCAGAGGTCCCGGGTGGTCAGTCTCACCTAAATTACTTGAATTGAGGGTGGGGTTTGAGAATAAGAGGCTGGGTGCTGGGGCAGGCAGAAACAACAAATATGTACTATGAGAATCGAGTACAATCCTGTCTCTTTTATGAAGCATTTTCTCACTATTTTACACTATTACGGCTCTAATGACCCGGTTTGCTGCTTTCCTGTTGAGAACATGCTGCATTATTGTGCCTTACACTTTGGAAGTAAATTCTTAGTTTACACCCTAGATTTTGTACCTTTATCTTCCGTATTGTTCTGATTGCATTTGCTACTTTAAAGGTGCGATTTAAAAAAAAATTTTAATTACCTTTTGCAGAGAGAGGCTTTTGGAGGCTTTTATCAGAGGCACAGATAATTCTTATATTGAAGAAAAAATGTGTGTGTTCTCTCTCTCTCTCTCTCTCTCCCCCCCTGAGTCTGACAAAACCTGCATTGCCTGCAAAAGAAGGCACATGGTCTATTTTCCCCATGGGTCCTAATTCCAAATAAGAGAGCCAGTGGTGATCCACACGGCTTGTTTTCTTTCTTTTCTGGGGAGCTTGCTCTTGTGCTGTTTAATTTGGGCTTATAAAAACATTATTTTGTATGAGTGCCCAGTAGAGCAGCTTTTGGGCAACTGACTTATGAAATAAATCAAAATGATCTAAAAAAGAACATCCTCTGTTAATTGAAATTGAAGTGAGCCTAATATAGTTTTAATTCATTCTTTTTGTGGAGGATTAGCGTTTCCTTCCAGAAGGGAGTTCTTCTAAGCAACACCAAGACAGTAATAGAAATGGAAAATAGCTGCCTGCTGTCACACTAACCAAAGCCCAACCTTGGCTTTTCAGAGACCTTACTTAGGTCTGGCCTCTCTAAAGTTACACACAGATACAGTTACACCCACACGTACATGCATACACCTGATCAATATAATTTTTACAGTCCTAGGTACCTGAAAAAATGAGGCATCAGGCAAATGAGGGGGGAAAACACAGAGACAGACTCTCACAGATTTCAGAATGGATCTTTATAAGATTACATTGGCATAAAGACAATAATAACAGACTGTCTTGCCTTTATATCAAGATTTATACTTGTAAAGTGTTACTCAGTTCAGTTCAGTTGCTCAGTCATGTCTGACTCTTTACGACCCCATGAACCACAGCACGCCAGGCCTCCCTGTCCATCACCAACTCCCGGAGTCTACCCAAACCCATGTCCATTGAGTCGGTGATGCCATCCAGCCATCTCATCCTCTGTCGTCCCCTTCTCCTCCTGCCTTCAATCTTCTCCAGCATCAGGGTCTTTTCCAATGAATCAGCTCTTCGCATCAGGTGGCCAAAGTCTTGGAGTTTCAGCTTCAACAGCAGTCCTTCCAATGAACACCCAGGACTGATCTCCTTTTGGATGGACTGGTTGGATCTCCTTGCTGTCCAAGGGACTCTCAAGAGTCTTCTCCAACACCACAGTTCAAAAGCATCAATTCTTTGGCACTCATTAGATTTGTGTATATGAGTAGATATTCCACTGTTGACTTAAATCCAGGATTAAGGATGCCGTCATCACAGCTGTCTTTTGAGTCTTTGTTATCTTTAGAATTTTAAATTATTATGAAATATTGTGTATGTGTGTAGGCATGAAAACATATCTATTATACCAATAGCCATTGAGTAAATATGGCATTATTTATAATCTTGTTTCCCTTTCCTCTTGAATCTTTATCCCTGCACTAGAGGTAAATACTCTCCTGAAATTTGTGTACATCATGCTCTTAACTTTTCTTAATAGCTTAGCTATATATCTTTGTTCTCCTAAAAATGCCATTTATTCTTCCTATTTAAACTTTACTTGAATAGAATCTCAACAGGCAGTTTTATGTGGTTTGCTTTTTTTTGTTTCTCAGTACTGTTGATGAAATTCATCTATATTGATTATTTTTAGCTCATTTTGTTTGTGGCTTATCTTTTCACTTTATTTTTTTTCATGAGCAGAAAATTTAAAACAGTGTAGTTGAATCTTTATGGTTTATGTTTTTTGTGAACTACTTTTTATGACTTGAGATCAGAATGATATTCTTCCGCTTTCTTTCAGAATTTTTAAAAATTGTATTTTCTCCTTTAGGTCTTTAATCTATCTGATACTGACTTTGGGGTATGCCTTGAGGTAGGGATCAGTTTTTTCTTTCCTCCCAAGTGAAAAGGCAGAGCATTTGCTTAGAAAATTTCAGATATTCCCATCTTTCTCAGAATTAAACTCGAAGTTCTTAAAATGGTCTAAATTACCCTATATGACCTGGTCCTTTGAAATGTTTCTGATTTCATCTACTGTTGTTCCAGGCAACACTGGCCTCCTTGCTCTTCCTGAACACTCCCAAATGTTCCTGCTTTGGGGACTTTATATTAATACTTGCTGTTCCTTCCATCAACAGTCTTCAGACATCTACGTGGCTAGCTCCCTTTCTTCCTAGATCTCTTCTCAGATGTTACCTTATCGTGGAGGCCTTCTGTGGCCACCCTAGCTAAGATCTTACACACACTCACATTTGAGATCTCTTCTCTGCTTTGGAATAACTCACCTAAAAAACTCTCTGGGACTGGTGTGGCTGTTTCATATACGAGGAGTATTTTTAAATGTTGATTTAACTTTTGAATGATTTTAGGACTCTATGGGGTTTTCCATTTATTCTTAAGTTAGTTTTGATAAATTTGTCCTCTTCATTTAAAAAAATATATATATATATTTAGAAATCCATGCCTTTTTTTAGAACTTTTTATTTAATATTGGGGTAAGGCCAATTAACAGTGTTATGATAGTTTCAGGTAAACAGTGATGGGACTCAGCCATACATGTGTGTGTATCCATTCTCCCCCAAACCCCCCTCCAATAAAATACATGTTTTATTTCACTTTTTAAATAGTCAATGTATGCACACAATTCAAGCATTCAAGTTCAAAAAGCATATATGATGAGAAATAAACCTTCATCCGTTCCTTCTAGCTACCTAGTTCCTGTCTCCTACCATCAGTTTCTTATCTATTTCTCTAGTTTCATGTTAATTCTCCCCCAAATATGCTATGCATATTTAACCACATATATATATATATATAGTTTTTATATAAATGGTGGAATACTATATATATATTATTCTGCACATTCCTTTTTTCACTAACCAGATATGTTAGAGATATCTCTGTAGCTCTGCATCGAGAGCTGCCATTCTATTAGAGGCACCTAAGACTCCACTGGATGCCTGTATTGTAATTTACTTAATCTCCTTCTGAAGGACATTAACTCAATTATTGCAGTAGCTTTCTAGCCAGTGTCCCTTACCCATCTTTAATCAGTGCATCTCACAGCTATTAGATATTTCTTCTTCTTTAATTTCCATCCTGATATTGTCTTGTCCCCTTTCAGAAGCCTACAGCAGCTGCCCAATATCCAAGAATAGGGCTGAACTAATTAGCCTTGAAGTAGAGCCCTGCACCACATGGTCGCCACCTACTTTTTCCATCCAGTCTTTCTGTTCTTGAAGAGACTCCCTAAACTGATGGCTTGAGGTTTTCCAAATGTACCTTTGTTTTTGGGCTTCCCAGGTGGCGCTAGTGGTAAAGAACCCATCTGCCAATGTAGGTAGAGGTAAGAGATGCGGGTTCCATCTATGGGTGGGGAAGATCGCCTGGCGGAAGGCATGGCAACCCATTCCAGTATTCTTGCCTGGAGAATCCCATGGACAGAGGAGCCTGGCGGTCTACAGTCCATAGGGGTTGCCCCGAGTTGGACGTGACTTGTCATGCACCTTTGTTTTTATGCTCAGGATTTTTCTTCTGCCTGAACTTCCTTTCTCCCCCAGCCCTTTGAAGGAGAGGATCACAATCCTCCTCCTTCTGGGCTGGTAAGGTCTAACTCTAACTCTTCTCTGGAGCAGCTGCACTTTCAGTATTTCAACTCATTCTCCCACTGGTACACCGTCTATAACCAGATGAGGTGTTTTCACGGTCTCCTCTAGACTCCATATTTCTGTGGGGAGGCACTCTTCACTCGAAATAGGGAATACTAAAATGAAAAGATGTATCTTGATATTCAAGTAGTTTTCAACATAAAGGTGAGCCAGACTTGCAAAATAAAAATACATAACACTATAGATGGTTGTTTAAGGGGAACTGTAGTCTTTGCTCAGTGGAATCAGAAGAAAAACATGAGCTCTTAAAAAGAAAGAAACCTAAGAAACAACAACAAAAAAAGCCCTGATCCCTACCCCAGGGCCTAGCACAATGCCCCATAAGTACATGTTGAATAAGAGTAACGTGAAAGGAAGCATTAAAGGCATGCCTCAACATCTTGACCAAAATCCATTTTTTATCAGGTAAGTCAACAAATAGTGTAGATGCCACTCATCTCTTGAGTGAAAAGAGGGCAGTGTGGAAGGAGGTGGAATCAAGTTTAAGCAAGCGAGGGAGGCAGGGCCCAGGCACCTGGAGAGGGTCTCGGGAGGGCGGGGCGCGCAGGGGGCGCGGCGGAGCCGGGGGGCGGAGCCTCTCGGGTCCCTGCCCCGCCTCCCCCCGCCCTCCCCACTCCGCGGCGGCGGCGGCGCAGGGCGGCCGCGCGGGTGTTGGCAGCTGCCGCGGGAGCCCGCACCGCCCCCTGGCCGAGGCTCCCCCGGGCGAGCCCGAGCCGGAGCACGCCGGCTGCTCGCGGCGCGGCGGCACTGGACCCCGGGAAAGTTCCCGGAGCCAGCGCCGAGATGCCGGGCAGCGACACGGCGCTCACCGTGGACCGGACCTACTCCGACCCGGGGCGGCACCACCACTGCAAGAGAAGGGTGAGGGTGGCGGTCGGTGTGGCGGTGGGGGCGCCCTCCGAGGGGCGAGGCTGGGTGGGCTTGGGCTCCCGCGAGAACGACCTCGCCCTGCGCGTTTCGCCGGCTCGCTCCCTCCCTTCCCTGCGACTCGGAGCCCGGACTTCCCAGCACCTTTCGGGCTGACGGGGAAGGGAAGGGGGGCGTGGGAGCTCGGCCCGCGGTTCCGAGACCTCCGGGGTGGGAGCAGCGCCAAGACCAGGCCCACCGCCGCTCGTCGGACCTCGCGCGCCAGGGTCTCCTCGACGACCGGCGCTCCGCCGCCCTCTCCGCCAGGGAGCGCTCGCTGCGCGGGGCCAGACGCGAGGGGATCCCGCCGCCCGCGTCGTCTTGTCGCGGAGTTCGGCCTCCCGGCTTCCTAAGCTCAGGTGCGGCCGCCGCGCCTCCCCAGCCGTCGGGTCTTTCGGGCTCGGGGCTGTGCGCTGCCGGAGCGCGGACAGGCAGGCGGCCGACCCCGCTTCCCGGTTTCCCGCGGCCGCCCCTCCGGGCTCTGCCCCAGTGAAAAGTCAGTCTTGCGCGCTGCCTGTTGAGAGTTTCTAGTCGTGAGGAGCAGGCGCCCTCTCCATTGTTTGCTGTGTAATTTGCTGTTGCTGATTTTGGCTGTGGGCGAAAATAGCTTTTCAGAGTGAGCAGCGGAGACGAGCCATGTAGTGCTCGAACGGGGAGGGAGGCCTCAGCCTGCGCGCCGGTCCCTCGGGAGAGAGGAAGCCTCACCTGGCCCGGGGATTGTTTTGCTCTCCTAGGGCTGTTTGATCGTCCAGGTTGAACACTTGGCTCTCCTCTTGACTGATTGAGCTGCCATTTGGAAATGCACCTCCTCTGCCTGGCATTTATTCGGGCGAGGATTGCCTGAAGGTGTTCTTTGCGCTAACTGCCCTCTTGCACGATCTTAGTCCTTGAGTGTCAGCCTCTCTGCTTAAAGTTCAGGAGGTAGGATCGTGCTCGCATCTGTTAATCAGTTTCACAAAATGATTTAATTTTTTTCGGATTAAGTACATTTAGTGGAGTAATACTTATCTCCAGCATCCAGTCCGCACTCCCCTCCCCGCAAAAGAATTCTCCCTCTCTTTTTCTGCACTTTCTTAAAAGTTCCATAACAGTTTGTAATGAAAATAGCTAGAAATTCCATTTGAAAGAAAATATTGATAATAAGAAATCTTTGGTTACCTCAAGTTAGAAGGTTGTTGAGGGATGGCTGCTGACTAATACACTGTTAACTGCAAAGGAAGATGAAAATCTTTTTCTGATGCCTTTGTAATCAGGGGGATGTGTGGTCCATAGTGTTGTAGTTGACGGAAAGACATTTCAGGATTGAAAAAAATGTGGAAGCTGGGTTTCTCTTGTCACAACTGTGATAATCTTTGTGTAAACAACAGGATTAGTAATCTTTGAGGGAGGGATGGCTCATTGTGAACCCATTTAAGCAATTTGGCAAAAGCACACGGAACTTTCCAAAACTCAGCTCTTTTTAGCTTAACTACTGAGATGGAAAGTGGCAAAGCAGATGTGTAAGTCAGCGACAGACTTTATCTCTGCTGTATCTGCTGCTGTTCCATTTCCACACCCATCTTTCCTGTTAAAGTAGGGGAACCATTTGTGAAGGGGGTTTCTTATTTTGTTTAAAATTCTGTTGACTGTGTTAAAGTACTACATTGTTAGCATAGAAACACCTGGTTTTTATATAGACCATAGATTAAAACTGAGTTAGACTTATATATACTGATTATTCTATATTAGCTTATATAGGGCAAGTGAAATCTGGTAAGGGCTGGACAAAATCAAATTGAGGAAGCCTAGAAATTCAGTGGACATTGATCACAAGTTCTACAGCAAAGACCTTTACTCAGATGGGGCTGATACACTTTTGATCTGTCCTGAAGGCTGCCATAAGGCTGCTAGAATGAAGGCCAGGTGGAAGCAATCTTCGGATGCAGAAAGCATCCCATTAGATGATTTTAACTCCTGTTTTGTGGTACTCATTTGAATGTAGCTATAAAAACGTATTTTCTTTACACTCAGAAAGTATGTGATGCTGAGGAAAACCTCAAGGAACACTGATACTTGATTTCTTGATGTCCCCTTTGCCTTGACAATAAATCATCTAGTATAGGATTCATTTATTTATTTTTTGATGGGAATATAGTTGCTTTACAGTATTGTGTTAGTTTCTACTGTACAGCGAAGTGAATTGACTATATGTTTACCTGCATCCCCTCTCTTTTGGATTTCCTTCCCATTTAGGTCACCAGAAAGCATTGAGTAGAGTCCCCTGCACCATACAGTAAGGTTCTAATGTGGGATTTAAAAAGAACCTTTTTGTGGACTTATTTGGTAAATTAGCTCCCCTAGAAACATTATAATGAGAAATGGAGGTGTGCGTGAGGAGTTGATTAACCTTTCAGAGATAAGAAGTTTACCCCTGGCTAGGGGCTAAGACTCAGTGAGATCAAGTTCTTGTTTGCCGAATGGTCACTTTCTGTGTTCAAAATTGATACCCTGTTGAGAGAGCAGGGAAAATAGACATCTTGCTTGCTGAGCTTGTTTAAGCCTTTGAGACTGGAATAATAATGAGGCAGTGTACTATTTTAACAGTGCACAAGTCTATTTTTTACAGCCAGGTGGATTAACCTAAATTCCGCACCCCGCCCCCCTTGGTGAAAATGTAATGTAACTGATGAATTCTGTGATTGTCTCTAAGCTGACAAGTCAGGGTCATTCACATTTTTAAACTTCTTCTGCGTAAAACTCAGAAATGGTACATGTTAAAACTCACTGCACATTATATCCCTTGATTTTAAAAGAAAGAGCATACATAATTAGAATCTTACTTTTTTTTTCATGCCCTAGATAGTTAAAGCCTATTATCTATTTAAGAATATAGGCAGTCTGCTTTCTATCCAGTAACTGGTTTTTATTAATTATGTCTGAATGAAATTTTTGTCAGTTCTAATTTTAAGTGTCCTAAAATGCCATCTTCAGCCACTGGGGTCTAGAGCCAAACAGCTGTGGCTCTGGAAGCAGAAGACTTGGATCATATCTGGCTCTTCACACTTCCCAACTGGGTGACTGTTGGGGCAGGCTCTAACCTTCCCAGGCCTTCAGTTGCCCATGTATAAAAGGTGATAATGATTCCCACTTTGGGAAGTGATTGTGAGTCTTCAGTAAGAGAATCTGTAAAAACAGTGGTTGTGTGTACTCAGTAGTAGCTGTTTTTCTCCATGTGTGAGATAAATAATTTTTTTTTCCTTATGCTGTTGGGCCACTGATCAGAACTGCTAGTTGTCTGGAGTGCCTGCCTTCCCTACATCTCTAGTCTGTCAGCCATGCCACTGGATCTCTGACATTTCTCTGGAATCCTTTCCTTCTTCCCGTCTTCCCCAGACATCCCACCTTAGTTTAGCCACTTACGACCTCAGGAGGAGATAGCTGGTGCTTTACCTTCCTCTGTGATGTCATCAACTTCTATTCCATCCTGCCTGCACAGACCATACTGTTCTCTCTACAGAACCGCTTTCATGTGGCTAGCCCGTAGAAGACAGACCCTGTGCTAGTTAGGGCTGCTTACTAAGCACTTGACCTTGGACCTTATCGTTATCCTAGGTCTTAGTTTCCTCTTCCACACCGTTGATGTGTGGTGAGTGATAAATGAGTCATGTCTATAAAATGTCAGGTACACAGTAAGACTCAATAGATGGTAGCCAGTTTTTGTTATCACTATGTAAGACATGAGTTTGAGCAAGCTCCAGGAGTTGGTGATGGGCAGGGAATCCTGGTGTGCTGCAGTCCGTGGGGTTGCAAAGAGTTGGACATGACTGAACAACTGAACTGAAGTACATATTCATAAGCTTGAGAATGGAAAGACTGCTGATTTTATGAATAATAAGAGACTTTTCTTGGATTTTTAGCATATGGTACCTTCCTCCATTGCACGTTCCTCATCAATTGATTGCTTACATGTTTATAAACTATAGACACTGGCGCTGTGAGAGCAGGAGGCTTCATTCAGCAAGTATTTTTGAGCACCTTCTCTGTGCTCACTGCTGTTCTAGGCATCAGCAATGTATGGGTGATGAAATAGTCTGGCCTCTCTGGAAATTTAGTATCTAGTGAATGTATCTTTTTTATCTTTGCAGTCCCAGGAAATACCCTTCTCTTTTACAGGCAGAAGTGATGATAGTAAGTGCAAGTCTCTAGTGTCTGAAGTAAAACCTGTGTCAGGCATGGTTGCCACCTGTAGTACATCTTTAAACCTTCTGAGGTGTGGAAATAGATTGAGAACTGCACGATGAGTAATGGCCAGAGGCTGTCAGAGAGAGGAAGATGTCAGAGCCCTTCTCACTGTGGAAATGGTTGGGCAGTGATGTAATAGTTGATGATTGTATGCTTACTTCCTGAACAGGAATCAGAGTGAGTGGAAACAGACTTCTTTTGTAGGTGACACTGACCTGGTGAAGGGGTAACCTGAGTGAGTGGTCTGTGAGTACAATTTTTAATCAGTGATTTGTTTTCTTCTAAAGAGTTAATTTAAGGGATGGTGAGTAGATGAATGTGTGAGTTGGAATTGTCTTCAGTGTAGCATGAATGGATTGATGTGGTGTGTGTTTTTTGAGTGATGCTTTGCTGTGGGCCTCGCCGGTTCTCCCTTTAGAGGAAAACGAATTGCCAGCCTCCGACAACACGCCCGCTTGTCACATCCGCTGTGGAACACCAAGACAGCTGCTACCAAGTTGGATCACAGGATGTGTTTGCTTCAGACCCACTGCCTAAATTTCCAGGTCTGCTGTTAAGGCCAGAAATGAGCCTCATGCTTCTGGGTGGAAGTTGCCCAGGTCTTGACTTAGGAGAGGCTGCTAAGTCAAGCCCAGCTTGACTTTATTTCAGCCCTGCTGTTTCTTTGTTTAATTGTGTTTTTGTGTTTTCAGTCAAGCGCGGTGGGGGGGGTGGGGGGAGTGGTGAGAGAGAAG